GTGTGTGTGTGTGTGTGTGTGTGTGTGTGTGTGTGTGTGTGTGTGTGTGTGTGTGTGTGTGTGTGTGAGGAAGCAGGATGGAGCGATTCAGATACAGCCTGCATTAATGAAGACAACATGTCAGTGTTCTTTATTTATTCGCCGTGCTCCCGCTGAGCGGGGAGCGGAAATGAAGTCCTGCGCGTCGCCCAAGCTGCCGTTCGCCTCCTCAGGTGTCACTGTCCTGTCAGCCAGCGTGTAAAAAGTGGCAGACAGTGATACATTCCCCCCGATAACGGCCCACCCCCCATCCATCATCCCCCCGCCACCCACTCCCCCCGCTTGCTTATTTGTTTATTTCCTGGTTTTTTTTTTTCCCCCCTCTTCCGTGGAAAGCCCTTGCAGACTTTTTATTATAACTAACCGCAGAGTGGCACGTCTGCCGTTTGTAGCACTCGTTACTTTCTGGTAGACACGAGACGGGCCGTGGTGCGAGCAGGACACTTTTCCTGCGCCGTCCTCCTTGGCTGGCTGCAGCCTCGGAGCTGGGGGGGGGGGGGGGGAGCCGTTTGTGATCTCGCAGCAGCACCTAGTGTCTCTGGATTGTATTGCAGGTTCTTCTCATGGTCCCGTGCCCTCCGAGCTGCTGTGGGAGGAGCAGCTCAGCTCTGCATTGGGGGCCGGGGGGGTGTTTGTTTGGTCCCTGGCTTACAGCTGCAGTTCAGCATGCGGGTGCTGCCGCTGTTGGCTTTTTTGGTACAGATTGGCTCCTACATGATGTGACCATCTGAGGGATGCAGTGACAGTTTGATTGCTTGTCCCCTGACACGCAGGGCCTTCCATTCAGGGCCCTGTGAGACTACAAAGCAATCGCTGCTTTGCGAAATCTTTTGTCATTTTGTATGTGCATAAATGTTTTTACTGCAGTCGTTAAGAATTGCTAATGTCATTCATAACTGTAGCCGAATGCAGTTTCTCGTGTAAACAGCCAAAGCATGTTCTTTTGGCAGTGTTGCGTGAGGGATCTAGAGGGAGGTTTGCGTGAAATACAAGCAGATGCGCAGCTTATCGGCCTGTTGTTAGAGCTTGAGGGGAGTTCATGCTTTTTGCTAAGATGTAGGCTGTTTCAGGGGACCGGGCCCCCTCCTTGGGGCTTAGCGCTGGCATGCATTTCCTCTCCTGCTTTCTCAGATGTGTCCACTGGGGGGCACTGGTTGCTTGTATCCCTCCCCTTCCCATAGAGGAAGCATCATTCGGCAGATTGAGAAATACAGAGGAATCTCTAGGACAGTGGTCACCAGCCCTGTCCCTTGCAATGTGCCACTCTGCAGATTTTAGGTGCAGCCTTAATGTTACACACTGGGTTCAGATAAGAGCCAGCTATGTTGAAGCTTAGTTGGCTCTAAACCTGAGATGCTAGGGAAGGGCCAGATTATCTGTATCAGGTGTGTTAAATTAAGGCTCAAGGAGCATGATCATGTACCATCAGTGCACTCCAGCATTCATGCAGGAGGCAGTGTGTGACTGAACGGAATCAGCCTCTGTGCCTGTGAACGGAAGGTTGCTGGTTCGAATCCCCTGTTTGGCAGAGTAGCAACAAGGCCCTTAACTCATCGAAAAATTCTCCAGTAGCACAGGATAATCGGCTAACCCAGCACTCAAACCCCAATTTCCCCTCTCACCGGTAGGTGCGTGTGCGTGTGTGTCTTAAACAAAAGGAGAGCATGAAGGGATATGCAAACAGCCCACACCAGTGCTCTCGTACTTTCATAAGCAGCAAATAAAAAGCTTCATCTTCTAAGGGTGAGGGGACTGTGGGAGTGGATCTGATGGAGCAGTGTAGTCGCACACACACGCTTTGGCTCTGAGGCATACCATACCTGTAAGCACCTGTCTGTCCTGAGCCCTGAGGGCAGGTCACGTCCCTTTAACACGCTTCTGCCTTTTTCTTGTCTTTTTCTGTCCTCTCCAGTATGAGTACAGTTTCCACACTGAAGATGTCGCCTTGGCAGGCCTGCCGAGCTCTGAGTGCTGACCTGAGTGCCTTGGGGCGCTGCTCCCAGGAGGAAGAACACAGACACCCTGTGTGTGTGTGTGTGTGTGTGTGTGTGTGTGTGTGTGTGTGTGTGTGTGTGTGTGTGTGTGTGTGTGTGTGTGTGTGTGTGTGTGTGTGTCGACCATCACAAACACAGAAGCCTGCTATGTTTACGGAGGAGGGATGGGAGAGTGAGACGCACACACACCCCTGAAGGAGGTGCAGAGCACTCGTAGCACCTCCTCCTCCTCAGTGCAGTAGGCTCTTGCGTCTCACGTTAAAAAGCCACATCAGCGGCTGCAGTTCAGCCCAGCGTCTGGGCTGCTCACCAGGCGTGCGAGGCTCAGCTTCCAGAAACCATGGGAACCATCGCTAAGGAAACAAGCTGGCACACACCGAGGTGTGACGATGCCTGACGCCTTCCTGGGTCAGGTGATGTGAGCCCCCGCCCATATTCCACGTGTGTTTAGGGGGAGGGGGGGGTTGGTCAGCTGGTCATGTTGAGCGCTCTTGGTCTCCTGCAGTGTGAATGTATCACTGGCCCACCAGAGGTTTGGTCCCCAGAAGGTGCTCAGGATGAGATCCTATCTGTCCAGGTCAGACTGGTTCACTCCATATGTTTTAGCAGTTTTTAAAATAAGATATATTTTAATTTTGTTCTGTTGAAGTGTACTGCCTCTATTTCACTATTTCACTGGGGTTTAGAAAGCATGACGTTCTCTATCTATCGAAGCCACCTGAGAACCAGCATGACCTGAGCAGAGTCTTGCTCTGGATGTCACTAGCACTAGAACCATCCGGTAAAACTGTGGCGTCCCCTGCTGTTGGAAGGACCCTTTCCTACCTGTTTTGCAGTGGGTCTTGTTATATCCAGGTTGTATTTAAACTCCTGTGCAATAAGTGGTTTTCCTCTCGCTCACACGTGAACTGCAGCTAAAATAAGAGACGCAGCACATTGGCCTGGACTCCATGGAAGGACGGCTATGTATGAAGTGTGTTTACACAATCAGAGAAAGTGTATCCACCATGAAGAAACACTGTCCTGGTGCAAGAGGAATGTTCTGGCTCATCAACAAGACAACCGTGATTCTGTACAAATCTGGAGTATGAATTCTGCCATAACACTGTACAAACTGTGTCTTTGTAAAGCCACAATGCCCACACTGACAACCAGGCTGACACTGGAATACACTGAATTTGGTTTTGGGGTAAGATCACATGTCTGTCTGGTTAATGTCATTCAAGCCTGTTGGCCTGTTTGTTTCGATGTGTTTCCATTATGCATGGCAGAACGCGCTCCGCTCATTTGTAAACCTTGCCATTCCCCTAATGCTCCAGCCGCAGGAGTTGGACCAGTCCGGAACCAAGCCGGTATCCGTTCCGGTGATTCTGAACTCATTTTGTGCTGCTTGTCTGTAATTTGTTGATTTTATTTTGAGAGAGCACACATCACACTCTGTTAGGCGGTTACGTTATTGGATGATATCACTGAACCATAATTATGTGGTACCCTGTATTTCGCAAAGAGGAACACCAGGGGGCAGTATTTTAACTTGCAAGAAGGAGTCTAATCTCAGTGTATTTCTACAATGTATTGCTTAATGGGTGTTTCCGGAATCCCTTTTTTAATATGTTTTGTTGTCTGGCATATTTTCCCAGCTAAGCTAAGTACTGTAATTGTCCCTTAAACCTGAGAGTGTGTCAGGCAGGCTGTGGATGGTTGTTCTTGCTGGATGGCAAATGGACCGGTACTGTATGTCCTGGCCAGTTATTCCTCTCCATGCCAGCACCAACCCTCAGCTGCACGGGTCCCAAAGCCCTTTGAATCCCGTTTTGTTTCCCTCTGCTCATCTGTGAAAGGGTGAGCAGGCCGTTGTATTCTTGTCGGTTTCTGGCTGTACTGATAACGATGAAT